GGCCTTCACCGCCCTGTTGTCTATGACCCTACGTAAGATCTTCGGCTAATCTCTTCCCACACTCACTCCTTCCCGCTGACACTCATCAGTCTGCTTCCTGTGTCCACGCCTCTGATGCTGTCTTATTCACCAGTTTATGTTGCTCCTTAGATTTCTTATTTTTATATTCATTGTTGATAGAGATGTATTTGTTGCCGTTTTATTGTTCATATCTTTAAAAATCTGTTCTTCTTAAATAATACCCTTCAACATTTTGGTGGTGATTTCGGTTTGGTGTGGTGACCTCTTTAAGCTTTTTCTTATCTGTGAAGGTGAAGCTCTTTGTCTGACCTTCCATTCTGAATGATAGCTTTGCTGGGTAGAGTAGTCTTGGTTGTAGGTTCTTGAATATTTCTTGCCACTCCCTTCTGGCCTGCAGAGTTTCTGTTGAAAAATCAGCTGACAGTCATATGGGTGCTCCCTTGTAGGGAACTAACTGCTTTTCTCTTGCTGCTTGTAAGGTTCTTTGCCTTTAGCCCTTGGCATTTTTATTACGATGTGTCTCGGTGTGATCCTCTTTGGGTCCCTCTTGTTTGGGGTTCTCAGCGCTTCCTGGACTTGTAAGTCTATTTCTTTCACCGGGGAGGAGAAGTTTCCTGTTGTTTCTTCAAATAGGTTGTCAATATCTTGCTCTCTCTCATCTCCTTCTGGCACCTCCATAATATGAACGTTGGTACGCTTGAAGTTGTCCCAGAGGCTCCTTACACAATCTTCATATTTTTGGATTTTTTTTCTCTTTTAATTGGGTGTTTTTTGCTTCCTCATATTCCACATTGTTGATTTGCTTCTCAGACTCCTCTACTCTACTATTGAATCCCTCTAAGTTACCCTTTCAGTCAGTGTATGCTTAATTTCTGACTCTGACCTTCTCACTAAGATCCCTGAAAGTCTCATGGAGCTGTTCACTGAGTGCACTGGCTCTCAGGCCTCCGGCGAGGTGCAGAGTCAGCCCCTGCCTGGAGCCGCCCTGCAGGAGCTATCTGTGTGGGGCTTGGAGGTGCCCAGATGAGACCCAGCTGTAAAACAAGGCAGGCCTGTGTTAGTGCAGGATCTTGGGCCCTTCGCTGATAGGTTTGGGGCCTGCTGAGCCAGCTGCATCTTGTTTAAGAGATTTCAGCTAAGTCTGAAGCCTGAGCCAGGACAGGCCTTTTATATGCAAAAGCTGCTGCCATCAGGTTGGGTGGAGCTGCAAAATGGATGGGTCAGGGTCTCTGGGAATCACCAGAGCAGAACAAACAGAAATGGCTGCCCGTCAGCCCTGCAACCAGGAAGGTTCCAGCATGGGAACAACGACCCCTGCCAGCACCTCCACCTGGGACAAAGCCACTGAGTTCATACCCCGATGCCAGCCAATCCAGTTCCTCCTCATATGTGCCTGGTTCCCCCAGAGCCTCACCCTGGCGCTGGAGCTCAGAAGAAGCAGGACCTTGTAAGTTCAGTTTGTGTGCCAGCTCTTTAAAAGGAACAGCTGGGCTCCAGCAGTCTCCATGTCACTCAGCCCCAATCCCCAACACTGGGCCTCAGTGTCCCCGTCTGTGAAATGGGATGACAGTGCGATAAAGGGCAGGGCACATTGGTACATTCTCTCACTGGACAACTCAGGCCCACCCTGGAGGGAGGTGCTGTCACTGACCTTGCGAAGTTGAGGAAACTGAGGCACAGAGTTGAAGTGATGCAGCAAGGGGAGGACGGAGCTGGGGGAGGGACTTGGGTCTCACTGGGTTGGGTCAGCCCTGCCCGCACAGCACCAGCCAGCTCCATTCAGAGACACAGAGATACCTCTCCCCACCCCCAGGGTGCTCCCCAGGCCCGGCCTCTGCCTTCCTGTCCGGGGCTGACAGGAGCCTGGGCAGAGCAGGGCGGCTGAGGGTGCACAGGCAGGGACACACACCCCCATGGCCATGGCGGGAGCTTTGCCTCCAGGAGCTGCGGTCCCTGCTCCTGCCTCGGACTCTGAGCTGCAGCCTCTGACGGGAGGGAGACCTTGGACAAGGTGCTAAATGACTCTGGCCTTCAGTCCCTCCCCCGAGGCTGCCACTCAGCATATCTCAGTCCTCCCACAATCCTCTGGGGCCAGTTCTGAGGCTCGGAGAGGTCAAGTGACTTGCCCAAAGCCACCAACAAGCTTGTGGGCAGGGTTTCTGGGAAGAGAAACCCCAGAATTGGTGTGCAGGGCCAGAGCCGCCAGACAGTGGAGGGGAGGGGAGGGGAGAGGGGGAGGCCCAGGGCCGGTCAGGGTCTCCCCCAGGCCAAGGCCTCCTCTGGTTCCTGTAAATAATTAATTAGCCCCTGCTTGCTTGTTTGTTTAGCATGAGGAATGCTCTCCCACTGAGATGCATTTATTGCTGAATAAATTTAAATATCTAATCTTTCCTTCATGAATATTACAGCACCCTAAATAGCGGCCAACAGATCCTAAGCACCTTGGCAAATGGCCCCACAGGAGCCTGCCTGCCTGGCTACAAGGATGCCAGGCTGCAGCCCTGCCCTCTGCCCGAGAAGGTGGGGGTGTGGAGGCAGGAGGGCTGGTGGGCTCCCAAGCAGAGCGCTGGGCTTGTCTGGGGGTGGGGGGCCTGGGAGGTCAGGGCTGGAGCAGAGGGCAGACGGCCCCCAGACAGCTGCAGCCTGTCCATTGCTGAGGGGTCCAGGGAGGGGACTGAGGGGCCAACAGGTATGAACTGGGGACATCCCTTCCCACAGGAGCCCAGGGCCAGGCCCAGAGCTTTCCCAGCGGCCCAGGTCGGACAGGAAGGGGAGGGAACTCTCTCGGATGGAGCCTCCAGAAGCGCCTCCTGCAGCCTCCAGGGCTTCGCTCGGCCTAGCAGGAGCCCAGGCCAGGCCGGTCCGAGCCTCTGCCAAGCAGCAGGCCCCCTGGCACTGAGAGGAGTGTGGAGAGGGAGGTGGCGGGGGAGGGGGAAGGGAAGGGGAAGGGAGGGCAGGGGTGCTCTGGCCAGGGAGGTGCCCAGGCCCTTCCCTCATCTCTGCTTGGAGGGAACTGCTCCCCTGGCGGCCGGCACCGCAGTCACAGGGCCCGGCCCCGTTCTGCTGGGGAGGCTCCAGCCCAGCCGCGGCCTCGGCCAGCTCCCACTCCGCCTCCGCCTCCCCCTCCTGCCCCCGGGTCAGCCCCAACGGCCTGGCGGCCGGCCTGGCCGCGCTGCAGGAAACATTAAACCCCTGAAGCACGGATCTCAGGGAGCTCCACTTCCGCCGCAGGCCCAGGTCACCCGCAGGCCGGGCAGCTGGGCGCCAAGTGGCCGGCACCGCTGGGCGGGACGGGGATGTCCCCGGGGAGCTGGCTCAGCCTCGTCCCTGCGCTCACCCCTGCGCCCCTGAGCCCTGCACGCCCTGAGCACGCTGTGCCGGACGCCTGCTCCTCGCACTCCCAGTGCGCGCGCCGCACGTGCCCAGCCTGTCACTCTGCCCTGCGAGAACACAGCCGGCCACGCGCACCTGCACCCGTGCCGGCTCTGCTTACCCACCCCACAGACCAACTCGCCTTGTCCCCCAAGAGCCCCGCCAGGTGGCTGCCTGCTAGCGTCTCATTTGACAGACGGGGCAGTTGGGGTCCAGAGAGGCTGCACCCCACACATCTGTGACCTCGGGGCTGGGATCTGAACCCAGCACCCAGCTCCCAGCTCCTGCGGGGGGTCACCAGGCACCTCCGCCCGGAGCAGGCACTGCCCGGGGCGCCCTGCACACTCCAGGCGGAGCACCCCCTCAGCCCCAGACTCTCCGCGCCTCCCATGGGCTGCAGCGGCCGATCCCCCTGCCCAGTTCCAAAGCCCCAGGTTCCCCATCTCCTCCCCACCGATGGGGTGCTCTGGGAAATGTAAGCTCAGAGGAAAGCCGCAAAGTTCAGTTTAATTGGGACCCTCCCCCGCCCCAGAGGCACGGGGTGGGGGGGAGGGGTGTCCAGCTGGTGTCCCAGAGCCTGTGCCCAGGTTGAGGGTGGGACTGCGATGGAGGAGGCAGGGCCCCCGATATGTTCCTGGTAACATGGAGGGACGGCAGGCCTGCCCGCTGCCAGCGCTGTGAGCGCCCACTGCTGGTGCCCGCGGAGCTCCTGGCCCTCTGGCCTCCCCGGGGAGCGGCAGGTCCCGTTCTCCGGGCCAGGACACCAGCTCCGCCCCAGGGGAGGTCACAGCCCGTTTTCCAGATGAAGCAGTGGGCACTCAGGAAAGGACTGGCCAGCCTGCCCATGGGCACCGGGAGGGAGCCTGGCCCTGGCCCTGGCCTGCCTGACCTCCCCCAGGCCCTGGCACAGGGAGGGAGCTGAAGGGGTGCCACCTCTGCGCCCCGCCAGGCCCCGGGGTTGTTTACTTGAGCGGGGTGGCCCCCAGAGCCTCAGGCCCGGCCCCAGAGCCTCAGGCCCGGCCCCAGAGCCGCTCCGTTCTGCCTCTAACAGGCCCGGCGGCCCCAATTAGGGCGGATCGCTAATGAGGCGGCTTGTTACTGAGCAGGTGCGCCCCGAGGGGCCGAGGACCAGCTCCAGGCCGGGCTCGATCTGACACTGGTCACCAGTGGCCTCAGTTTCCTCGTCTGTAAAGTGGACCCAGAGCTGGCGCGGCCCCGGGAGCCTGGCCTCGGGGGTGGACCCTGGGGTGGGAAGAACTTACCCCTGGCCCGGGCCTGTAGCGGCACCTGCGGCCCGAGACCACCGCTCAGAGCCCGCGCCCGCGCCGTCCGCCCGGAGAGCAGCGCGGGCCTGGCGCGCCCCCTGCCGGCCACCCGCGCCGCCGCCTCCGGCCGCGCCGCCCTCCGCGCCTCGTGTCTCCGTGTCTCCCGGGGGAAGCACGGGGGTGGGGGGGCGGCGGAGCGGCTGGCGGCCGCGGGGAAAGGCGGGTGCCCCGAGGCCCCAGCACCATCGAGGGGCCCGGGTCCGCTCAGTGTGGCCTCAGCCTTCCCCTCCGGACAATGGGCTGGGGGACGCGGGGAGCCCAGCTCACTGCCCCTCCCCGCAGTGGACGGCTGCATCCACCGGGCCGCCGGGCCGCTGCTCACCGACGAGTGCCGGACCCTGCAGAACTGCGAGACCGGCCAGGCCAAGATCACCGGCGGCTACCGGCTGCCCGCCAAGTGTGAGTCCCGCCGCCCCGCCCGGGGGCGCTGCCCAGCCGGTCCCTGTGCGGCCCCGGAGCTGCCGGCGGCTCCTCGCAGCCCCGGGTGCCGGGACCGGGCCTGCCCCACACCCCGGGCGGTGCAGGGAAGGGGCGCTGAGGGCGGACCTGCGGAGGGGCCGGGGTCCATCGCGGGGCGGACTCGGCTCCTTAGCACACGGTGCGCCGCATCCCCGCACCCGGAGGGGGAGGGCCCCTTCCTGCCCCTCCAGAGCCAGGCTGGCCGGGGAGGGCCGAGGGCACAGGGACACCCGGCCCTGACCCGGCCGCCTCCCGCCCGCAGATGTCATCCACACGGTGGGGCCCATCGCCTACGGGGAGCCCAGCGCCAGCCAGGCCGCCGAGCTCCGCAGCTGCTACCTGAGCAGCCTCGCCCTGCTGCTGGAGCACGGGCTGCGCTCGGCGGTGAGGGCGGGGCGGGGCGATGAGGGCGGGGCGGTGAGGGGCGGGGCGGGGCGGGGAGGGCAGTAAGGGCGGGGGCAGGGAGGTGAGGGCAGTGAGGGGGCGGTGAGGGCAGTGAGGGGGCGGTGAGGGCAGTGAGGGGGCGGTGAGGGCGGGGCGGGGCGGTGAGGGCGGGGCCGGGCGGTGGGGGCGGGGCGGGGTGGTGAGGGGGCGGTGAAGACGGTAAGGGCAAGGGCAGGACGGTGGGAGCGGGGCGGTGAGGGCGGGGCGGGGCGGTGAGGGGCGGGGCGGTGAGGGGCGGGGCGGGGCGGTGAGGGGCCGGGCGGGGCGGGGAGGGCAGTAAGGGCGGGGGCAGGGAGGTGAGGGCAGTGAGGGGGCGGTGAGGGCAGTGAGGGGGCGGTGAGGGCGGGGCGGGGCGGTGAGGGGCGGTGAGGGCGGGGCCGGGCGGTGGGGGCGGGGCGGGGCGGTGAGGGGGCGGTGAAGACGGTAAGGGCGAGGGTAGGACGGTGGGAGCGGGGCGGTGAGGGCGGGGCAGGGGCGGGCGGTGGGGGCGGGGCAGGGGCGTGGCGGTGGGGCGGGGCGGTGAGGGAGGGGTGGGGCGGTGGGGCGGGGCGATGAGGGGCGTGGCGGAGTGACGCTATCCCTTCCCCTCCCTCCCCGCCAGGCGTTCCCCTGCATCTCCACCGGCGTGTTTGGTGAGTGGTCGGTCCAGGAGAAAGGGTGGGCTGGGCAGGCGGGCAGGCAGTGGGAGCTGAACGTGTGGCAGAGCGGCGAGGGCGGGCAGAACCCGGACTCCCTTTCTTGCGGCCCCCAGGCTACCCCAACGAGGCGGCGGCGGAGGTAGTGCTGGCTGCGCTGCGCGAGTGGCTGGAGCAGCACAAGGACAAGGTGAGGCTGGGCCCGGGTGAGGGGGCTGAGGAGGAGGGTGATGGGGTGCACCCGGGTCCCACTAAGCAGCCCCGTCATTGCCAATGGTGTCTGGCCACACCAGTCCTTCCTGCACCCCTTCCTTCCCCTCACACACCACGGACCCCTCCTGAGAAGGGTGAAGCCTAGCTGGAAGGCCGGCCCAAGGGGCGAGGGGACAGTGACCAGGCGGGACCCCGGAGAGGGTGGCTCTGAGGCTGACCAGGCCCTGGCGCAGGTGGACCGGCTGATCATCTGCGTGTTCCTGGAGAAGGATGAAAGCATCTACCTGCAGCGGCTGCCCCACTACTTCCCCGTGGGTAGGTACCTGTGGCAGGTCTGCCCCCACCCCCACACTCCTGCCCCTACCCCAGGCCGGTTCTCAGTGTCCTCTGCCTTCCAGCCTGAGGCCCGCCGCACACCCTGACCAGGACTGGTAAGCAGGGCCTGGCCTGCTGTGTGGCTGCCCACTAACCTGCCCACTAACACGCCCGCTCCCCCTGGTGCTCACCCACAGGGAGGCGGCCTGGGAGCCCCAGCCCACACCCCCTCCAACCTCTGTCTCTGCCCGCAGACACAGACGCGGACGCGCCGGGGCCTGCTGGACCTCACTCCCAGCTCTGAGGGGTGTTGAAGCCTGCCGCTGGGCCTGGGCACCCATCCCTTCCTCAGCCCCCGCCCCGCAGGAGCCTAATAAAGACTAGCCGTTGCAGCTCGCAGTCTGAGCCTGACTGGGTGAGGGAGGACCCGCCGGTGCAGGCTCAGGGCAGCGAGAGTTCAGGGCCAGGCGATGGCACACGTGGGCAGTACTTCACATTTATTGAGGGCCTGCCCCCCAAGGAGTTCACAGCCTGGGGATTGAGCCCCCACATGTGCTGGGGTGGGGAGAAAAGAAAGTCAAGGCAAAAAGGCAAGCAATGCAGACACCGGGGCGGAAGCAAAGGGGTGCAAGCAGGCACAGGCAGGGGCCTGGGGTGGGCAGGGGATGGCAGCCTGGCAAGTCCTGCCTGGGGACCTGACCAAGCAGAGGCTTGAAGGCTGCCCCCCTACCAGGGTGGGGTCGCCTGGGGGTGCAGAGGTACTCCAGCTCCTCTGCCTGCTGAGCCACGTTCCACCATCATGTGGGCCCTCTCCTCCCAGTGCTCCCTGACATGCAGACCTTGGAGAGCAGGCAGCTGGGGTGTGGGGCCCGGCCAGGACAGCAGGACGGAGGTGGACTATGAGGGGGCAGCTTGAAGCCTTGATGGTCCTAGGCCCTGGGTAAGCCCCGAAGGAGCTTCCTGGGCCAGCTAAGGGGGCAGGGGGCACAAAGGAAGCAGAACCCCAACAATCAGGGAGCCCCCCAAGAGGCTAGCCCCTCAAAACTGCTGGGAGGCTTGGGGGGGACAGGTGAAGGGCTGAGGAGCCCATCTGGGGGGGGGGGGGGGTCAGCCAGACACAGAGCACCAGGCGGCAGCAGCAGAGCAGGGACACGCACACGGGCTCACCACCAGCATCCCCTTTAATAAAACGTGGACGGTTGTATGACAGGGAAGGGGGAGTGAAACAGGACCATTTACAACCACACAAAAACCTCTGTACATGTCTAGTGCCTGGCAGAGGGGAGGGCAGCAGGGCCGCGGCGCCAGAGCCAGCCCTATTTGTAGAGGATGTCGTAGTGTCCAGGCCGGTAGAGCAGGTAGACCTTGGGCTCGGAGCCCTCGGGGAAGACGTGCGGGTTGGTGGTGCCGCCCTCGCCGCGGTCCATGTACTCCACCTGGATGGACACGCTGAGGGCCTGCGCCAGCGCGATGATGTGGATGTGGTCGCTCTCCTTGCACATGGGCTCCACCTCCTGTGGCACAGGGGCGGCTCAGGCCTGGGCTCAGCCCCCCAGGCCCCGGGGCTCCCCACCCCGAGGGGAGAGGGAAGGAAAGAGGGCCCAAAGGTGAGAAGCGGGGGCGGCACCTGCTGGCAGAACTCCTTGACGGTCCGCCCGCCCTCGATGAAGTGCTCGAAGAACTTGCTCTCGCGCTGCAGGTAGCCAGAGGTGAGCAGCCGCAGGTAGACCACCAGGTAGTCCGAGGTGCTCTGGTCGTTGAAGGAAGCCAGCAGGTCGGCTACCGAGGTGTGCTTCTCCACCTGCTCGATCAGGTCCATGAACTGCCCGGAGAGACAAGATGAGGGAGATGGTCAACCCCGCCACGGGCAGGCACCCCACCCCGGCTCCGGCAGCAGGACGGGCTCACCGTGTTGTGGAAATCCTCAATTGTGAACTCGGTGAAGCCCTGGGACACCAGGTCTTCTTTGCTCTTGGCAGACACAGCCTTGAACCTGGCGGCAGGGGGAAGGGAGGGGCGTGGGCTCCTCAGCCAACAGAGAGGCCCAGCCTAGCGTCTGCCCTTGGGTGGAGCCATACACCCCCTAGTCATCGAGGAAGGGGCGGGGCCCACAAGCCCCCTGAACTGCGCCCACCCCCTTCAGGGCAGGGCGCCCACCCCGCACCTCTGCAACTCCTTGCTGTCGTCCAGCAGTGCCTCCAGGTGGGAGAAGCCGAAGGCTCGGTAGAAGCAGTTGCCGTCGGGCCTGGTCTTGCGGATGTACGAGTACTTTTTGTGGAGGTCCTGCAGGGAGGCAGCCGCCCGGGCCATCAGCGTCACCAGCACCAGGCAGGCAGGCACCACCAGCAGGCACACCACAGGGTGGCACCAAACCCCACGCAGCTCCCTGCCGCCCTGGGCTGCTGACTCTGGCGGTGGGAATCACCTAGTGACCACTGCCCAGAGCCCCCAAAGCCTCGGGAGCCTCGACTTACGTACACACTGGCTGCATGAGTCACCAGCCACTGGCCACTGGCCACGCCAGGCTCCGGCTCCGGCACCGAGAGCCTGGCCTGCAGGGCTGTCTGCTCACGAAAACGAGCGAGCAAATCCGCCTGGGCCAGTGCAGCTGTGCTGTGACCAGACTTCCACACTATGAGGACGGGGCAGACTGGTTCGGGGCAGGGGTGCACAGCCCAGGCTGGGGTGGGACACAGCTCCCCTCGGTAGCTCCTCGCCTCTACCCTGCGGCTCACAGGTACCACCTGTAGGTGCCGTCTTCGGACTTTTTGATAGTCAAACCAGCCCAAGGGGCCAATAGTGCTGCCTGTCAAACAGGCCTCACTGCTCCCCGGCTCCCAATGGCTCCTTCATCCTTTCTCCTTCTCCTTAAACCCCCACTCAAGACACCTCCATGCTTTCCTCCCCACCCTCTCCTGTCCTCGGCCCTCACTGCCACGCCGCCTCATCCCTCTGACCTGTGATGGTCAGGGTCACCTGTCGGAAGATGGTCACCACACACATCCACCCCAGTGACCGTCACGTGCAGGCACAACCCTGCTCAGGCCGGGACAGCTTCTGCTTGTCAACCCTCTTGATGTCATCCATCTTGGGATTTAAATACCGTAGCCTTAATGTAACTCGTTGCCTGCCCTAACTCAGGCCTGACCTCCAATTTCAGCCCCCACCTCCAGCTGCCTCATCTACCGCCTCTAACTGCCCGCCTCTGAACTGCCCAGCCCAGCAGCAGGTGCTGACCTCCCCACGTGCCCGCTCCTCTCGGCCTTCCTCTCCATCAGCTGCACCCCCTCACTCCCTAAAAGCCTCGGCCCCTGCGCCCTCACCCCACACCCAGCGCAGACCCTCCAGCTCTGTCTCAGATGCATCCAGCACCCCGCATCTGTCACTGCTTAACTCCGCCTCCTGCTGATCCGACTGCAAAGCTTCCATCAGGTCTCCCGGCCTCCACCTGCGCTCAGCCTGCTCTCACCCCGCCACCTGCGCAGCCCAGAAACCTGCTGATACCCTCCGCTTCCTCCACGTCCTTTCTCCGGTCGCAGCCCCATTTCCCACGGCCAACTGCTCCCCACTCGCCTCCACGCGCTCCTCCAACCACCATGTACCCCTGCCCAGCGGCCACAGCCCCCTCCTGTGCTCAGTTCAGTCACTCCACCGCCGCCCAGCTGCCCTTGGCTGCTCTGTCCACTCCGCTCCATGCGGGCAGGAGTTTGCCAGTGGTGGTCATCCCTCCGTCTTCAGGGCCCAAACAGTGCCCGGCCCACAGCCTGTGCTCATAACTGAAGACAACAGCTCACAAGCGTGCGAAGAGCCCAAAGCACTGCAGCTCACGGAGCGCCCAGACCCTGCGAGCCGCCTCCCCGCCAGGCCTCGGCGGAGGGCTAGCACCCATGTCCTCCTGACCTCCGAGGGCCCGTTCGCAGAGCCACCAGCCCTGTGTAGGCTCTGTCGCCTATGCTTAGGCACCTCCCTGGAAGCAAAGTTGGGCTCAGGCACAGCACAGAGTGGGGTGTCAGTTCTGCACACACAGCATGCAGACACTCAGACATTCGCTGAATGCCTCGATGGGGAAGAACCCAAGACACCCCCCCTGTCGATTTACCAGGGAGCCTGAGTGTGGCAGGGAAGTCCTGCAATAAGGCCCCACCGCACTAACCAACCATGTGAGGGAGAGGAGAGACCTGCGCTGGCTAGGCCCTGGCCGTGCCCCGCGCGCAGAGCTCAGACTGACCACCGGCACTCCCTCCAGCACCGTGTTCGCCCGGTGAGGCGGGACTCCGCCCAGCGATGCTCAGGCTGCCTAAGCCCACACCGCTGGAAGTGGTGAAGAGGACTCAAACCCCGGCTATCAGGCCCCAGAACCAGTACAGTCACCTCTCCACAGACCTGGGGTAAATCACAAACACCCTAAGCAAGGGGCAGAGTAGACCACAGGCCACACACAGCTGTATGTACTGTTTGATCCACATAACATTTTATTTTTTAAATCCTCACCAGAGGATATTTTCCCATTGATTTTTTAGAGAGAGAGAAAGAGAAATTTTGAGAGAAACACATCAATTGGTTGCCTGGAGCGGAGCCTGCAATCTTTGACTGGAATTGAACCTGGGACCTTTCGGGCCATGGTGTTGTATCCACTGAGCCAAACCAGCCACGTAACATTTTAAATTTGAACCACCTGCCAAGTGTTAGGAACCTGGAGATTTTGTATCAATGACTTCTGGCCGAAGCCGGTTTGGCTCAGTGGTGGAGCGTCAGTCTGCAGACTGAAAGGTCCCAGGTTCGATTCTGGTCAAGGGCATGTACATTGGTTGCAGGCATATCCCCAGTAGGGGGTGTGCAGGAGGCAGCTGGTTGATGTTTCTCTCTCATCGACGTTTCTAGCTCTCTATCTCTCTCCCTTTCTCTCTGTAAAAAATCAATAAAATATATTTTTTTAAAAATGATTTCTGGCTTCTCTGGGAAAAACAGATCTGGCGACAATGGAGCGACAGCCACGGTCCCTCCCATGGGGCCACGGTCACTCCCATGGGCCTAGGTGCTTCCATGCCCTGCCCGTCTGGTGCAGACTGTGGTGCCATACTCACCCTGGGCCTGACCACCTTCCATCACTGGGTTACCAGCTTGGCCCTGACATGGATAGAAGGGTCTAAGCGTTTCTGATCCTTCGGGGGAGGTGGGACAGTGACACTTACTGAACCCCAGGCTGTCATGTTACTGGGTTACTGTTTACACAAACCCACGGCCACATCTCTGCCTCCCGCTCCCAGAGAAGTGAGCCGTTAAGGGGGTTACCTGTTTGTAAACGAGGCAGCAGGACCTGGCACAAAGGTCTAGTCTCCACCCCCAGTCCATGCGGCCCACTGTGAGCACCAAGACCACCAGGTCCCACCAGTCTCTCGCTCAGCCTCTCAACTGCCCTCAACCACCGTGGGCCATGCTTTCATCTCCCCCACTGACAGACAGGAGGCTGGAGGCCGGAGGCGGTAAAGGGCCTGAAGGATGCAGCTGCCGTGTGGCAGAGTCAAGATTTAAATCCAGGTCCTGTGACTCCAGCAGCCAGAAGGCTCCCAACACTCCACCCTCTAAGAGGCCAGGCCCAGCGAGGTGTCTGATGGGACCTGCTCCTGCACCAACCCCACCTCCTGCCCGCACGCTGGGCTCCCACCTTGATCTTCTGTTGGTAGATGTTGTCGTCCTCAGCATACTCCTTGTACAGGACCGACAGCTCCAGCCGCTCCGAGACCAGAGGGTTCTGCACAGCAATCTGCAGGGGGCAGAGCCCATCACGCCTGGCCCAGAACACCGAGCCCGGACGGAAGGGGGCTGGGCCAGGCCCCCGGGGCACAGGGACAGACCCACCCCCCTCCCCGCCTGAAGGCACCCCGTATCTAGCCCAGCTGGAGAGAAAAGGGCTTCCAAGCAGAGCAGAACAACAGGCCACAGGCCCAGCCTATGCCCCCATCACAGAGTGCTGGCCACAGCCCTCACCTCTTGTTGAATTCGGTCCTGCTGAGCCATGATGGCTTCATCATAGGCAAGACAGTTAACACCTGGAAGAAGCAAGCAGCCAAGGGTTACCGGGGCCTGGCTAGCTCCTCTAGGCCGCTAAACCAAGGACAAGAGCAGCCAGGAGAGCAGCCTGTAATCTGGACGCGGGCATCTCACATCCTGTTCCACCACCTTTCCTCCCGGCAAAGCCGTCCTCCCCAAGGCCTTCTCTTCTCCCATTTGACACGCAGGGCAGAGGCGGTCACCCCAAGGTGTGTCCTCCCTCTGGCACCCCTGACCCCCGCTTCCTACACTCTCCCCGCAGCCCAGGAGTGCTCAGGGGCAGGCGGGCAGGGTCCCCTGGGAAAAGAGGAGGAGGAGGCAGATCCTGGGCTGGATGAGCTTCCCGTGAGCCTGCACTTGCTTGACCACGCCCTTCCTCCTCCCGCCTTCCTGTGCACCCTCTTTACTTATTTTTATTGTTGATAGTGTTATAGACATCTCCCGTCTCCCCCCCCCCCCGCCTCTACCCACCCCCACAAGTCCTGTGTATTCTCAATGGTGCCCACTTTACAGGTAACACAATGCCCAGGTGAAGTAACCTGCCCAAGGTCACAGCTAGCAAAGGCTTGTGATGGAACCCAGGCCTGCCCAACCCCAAGGCTGAGCGCCTCCCAGTCCCGCTCCCGCTGCCTCGCTGCAGCCTCCCTCCTGCAGGGCCTCCCTCCCGTGCCGGGGCCACCTCTCCCGCCCTCGGTGACATCACGGGGAGCGGGGACCCGAGGGGCTCGCTGAGCAGCCAGCGGCCAGGATTGCTGGTCCTGGCTCCTCCTCAACGGACGTGACCCCGAACAAGACCTTCCCGGGGGCGGGCCTCCCAGGGCTGTCCCTGGGGTGTGCGGCTAAAATGGGGGGGGGGGGGTGCGCTAACTTTGAAGCCAATACCGTGGGCCTGAGCAGCCCGGGTCCGCAGCTGGGCCTCGGCAATGGACTGTCCCTCCACCCGGGGGACCGACTCGGTTCCCAGGGCCGAGCTCGCGAGTGAAAATGGAGCGAGTGGCACCATTTTGAAAGGCCCCGCTCTTCCGAGGTCTCAGGAAACAATGGCCAGGCCGGCGGGCAGGGCTGCGGGCCGGAGGAGGGGGCTCCCCGGGGAAGGCGGGCAGTCCTCCGGGCACACGCCGCCGCTCCCCCCCGCCCCGCCCGCAGCATCCCGGCCGCCCGGCCTTTGTGCCCGCGGCCCGGGGAGCGCGCTGCCTCCGGGCGCCGCTGCTCCGGAGAAGGCGGGCGGGCGGCGGGCCCCGGCCTGCGGGCAAGGACCGGGCCGCGGGCAGGGGACCCGGACCCGGACCCGGACCCGAGCCGGAGCCGGAGCCCCGCGGGGGGGCGGGGGAGGGGGCGGGAGTGGGGGCGGGAGGGCGGGGCGGCCCAGGCCCCGCCCCGGGGCGCGAGGGGAAGGGCCGCGGGCCGGGCCGCCCCGCCCGCCCGGACGGGGGTCGCCGCGGCGGCTCCTCTATTGTGAGGGGGAGGGGAGGCGGCGGCGGAGAAAGGGCGGCTCGCGCGCCTGGTCCCGGCCGCCGGCCGCGCCGCCCCCCGCCCCCCCGGCAGCCGGCGGCCCCGCATCGCGCCCCGGCCCCGGCCGGGCGGTCCTCCCGGAGCCGGTACCTTCGGCGTCGCTGCCCAGCGGCTCCTGCTTCTGCTGCTGAGGTTCCTCCGCCGCCATCTTTAAACAGCGCCGCACTGCCGACCGCTTCCGGGTTACCCGTTGTCCTCCTCCGGAAGAGAGCCCCTCCTCGTGACCCCTCCCTGGCAACGCCCCTAGCAACGGGGTCCCCGGGCCCGGCCGCGGAGGGGCTGGGAGGCCCGGCGCCGCCGCCCCGCCTCTGCCGCCGCACCTGCGGCCTCCGACCCCGGCGGGAGCCCGCAGCCCGGAGCCTCCTCTCCGGAGGCGGCCTGGGCGATGGAGGGAGGCAGGGGGAGTGGCCCGAGGCGGCGGGCTCCGGCCCCGGGCTCCGGGCTCCTGGCTCCGGGCTCCGGGCTCCGGGCCCCGGGCTCCGGGCTCCTGGCTCCTGGCTCCGGCTCCGGGCCCCGGGCCCCGGGCTCCGGGCAGAGGAGACCCGCTCAGGGAGCCTCCGTCTCAGCGGCTTTGGTTCCGCCTCGGGCGGGAGGGCAGCCCCTCGGGCGCCAGGCCAGCGCCCAGGACCGAACCCGGGGCGGCGCTCCCGGCCGGGAGGGAGGCGGGTCTCTTAAAAGCAGGGACTTGGCGGCGGCGGCCTGTGAACCAGGAGGTCACGGGCGATTCCCCTCCCCGTCAGGGCTCCCCACCCCCGTGTGGGGCTGTGGCCGTGCGGGAGGCAGCGGGTCCATGATGCTCTCATCATTGATGTTTCTCTCTCTCCCTCTCCCTCTCTGAAATCAATGGAAATAATAGTAAAAAAAAAAAAAAAAAAAAAAAAGCGAGTTGATAAAAATGAAAAACATTAGTGGCTGCCAGGGTTTAAGGAAAGTGGGTGTGGGTGTAAAGAAGCTGGAGGGATCCTTGTGGAGATGAAATATCTGTATCTTTTTAAAAATTTTTTTATTGATCTCAGAGAGGAAGGGAGAGGGTGAGAGAGAAACATCAGTGATAAAATTATTGATTGGCTGCTTCTTGCCCACCACACCGGGGACCCAGGCCACAACCCCTTGATCAGAATTGAACCTGGGACCCTTCAGTCCGTAGGCCGACTGAGCCAGATCAGCTAGGGCTCTGTATCTCTTAAATATGTTTTCTAAATTGATTTTTATAGAGAGGGAGAGAGAAGAAGAAACATCAGAATTCAACTGCCTCCTGCAGTCCTCTCACAGGGGACTGAGCCTACAAGCCCGGGCACATTCCCTAACGGGGAATTGAACCAGCAACCTTTTGGTGCCCTGGTGATGCCACATGGGCCAGGGCTTTCATATGTTTTTATTGATTTTTTAAAAAATATATTTTATTGATTTTTAACAGAAAGGGAGAGAGAGAGAGCTAGAAACGTCGAAGAGAGAGAAACATCGACCAGCTGCCTCTTGCACACCCCCTACCGGTTGCACCCGCAACCAATGTACATGCCCTTGACGGGAATAGAACCTGGGACCTTTCAGTCCGCAGACCGACACTCTACCACTGAACCAAACCGGTTTTGGCATTTTAGAGAGAGGATGGGAGAAAGAGAAACCGACCCATCCATACACCCTCTGTCCCTGATCAGTCTGAATTCACAACCTGGGCATATATGCTCTGACGGAATCAAACCCGTGACCTTTGGCCCTGACCTATTTTACTCAGTGGTTAGAGCAGCGGTTCTCAACCTGTGGGTCTCAACCCCTTTGGGGGTGGAACAACCTAAGACCATCGGAAAACACAGATATTTACATTATGATTCGTAACAGTAGCAAAATCACAGTTATGAAGTAGCAACAAAAATAATTGTATGATTGGGAGTCACCACATGAGGAACTGTGTTAAAGGGCCGCGGAATTAGGAAGGTTGAGAACCCCTGGGTTAGAATATCAGCCCTCAAAGGGTTTGATTCCCTGGTCAAGGACACACACCCTAGCAGCAGGTTCCATCCCAGCCACAGTACAGCGCCAGAAGGAAGCGACTGACCGGTGTTAATGTTTCTCTCTTTCCTCTCCACCCCCCTCCCTTCCACTCTCTAAAAATCAATGGGAAAAATATCCTCACTCATTGGGTGAGGGTTTTTTAAATGTATTTTTATTGATTTCAGAGAGAAAAGGAGAGAGAAACATCAATGATGAGACAGATTTATTGACTGGCTGCCTCCTGCATGCTCCCTACTGGGGATTGAGCCCACAACCTGGGCACGTGCCCTTGGCCTAAATCGAACCCGGGACCCTTCAGTCTGCAGGCCGATGCGCTATCCACTAAGCCAAATTGGCGAGGGCTGGGTGAGGATTTAAAAAAAAAAAAAGACCTTTCATTTCCCAGGATGATGCTCAACCGAAAGAGCCACATTGGCCAGGGCGAAACATTTGTATGTAACTGTATATGAATGTCCTTAGTATACACTGTACTTTAGTTTACAAAATGTTACTGATGGAGGAAACTGGGCCAAGGGAACACAGGATGCTTCTGTGCAATGTGAAAGTTGCAGGTGAATTACCTAAAAGTAAAAAAGGTTACAAAGTGGAGGTCGTTGCTCATTGTTGGGTTTTGAGCTCAATCCCCAGGAGGGGTGTTTGAGGGGCAGCTGATGGGTGTTTCTATCTATCCCTCTCCCTCCCTAAAAGCCATGAAAGCATGTATACTTTTTAAAAGGTTACAAAGTGGCAAGGCCGTGGATGCTGAGGCTACTGTTAGGCGGTAGCCTGGGGCTCCGCTCCTGCCTTTTGCAGGACAGACAGCCGTGGTCATCAGGGAGCTGTGCCTCAGGCCCAGGCAGCCCCTCCGAGGTGGTCACCGTGCAGGAGCGGAATGTGACCGGGCGTGGTGGTGAGCTTGGTCCAGCCCTGGAGCCGGTGCACTGGTGCCCGGGCTCACCACACAGCCCCAGTGACCTTCCCACAGCCGCACTCACTGCCAGCGTCAAATCTGTGTCCCAGAAGCACGCCAATGCCTGCTCACCGGCTCTCTGAGCCTTGGGTTTCTTCCAAAGTCAAGAAAGCAAAGGACCCACCCAATCTGGCCCCTATACCTCCCCAACGGTTCATTTCCTTCCCAGGTTTTAACAAGTCTGCAGTGCCGACCAGGTCTTCCGTCAGTACAAGTGAATTGCAGCTGTGAAGAGCTAATGAGACAGTGGATGACAAAAACGCATTAGGCTTTACTAAATCTTGAAGCCTAATGTTTTTATCTTCAACCATCTCATTAGCTCTTAAAAATAGCTGCAAGACAACTCCTCCCCCTCCTCCCTTACGTCCAGGGGGAGTCCTCGATGGGAGGGAGCACGGGGGAGGGGGAGGCTGAGGTTGGGACTCACAGGACAGGGAGCACAGCTGCTCTGGAGTCAGAAGGAATCCGCTTGAACAAACCCACCCCCACGGACAAGGCCTGTAAGGGAGGGCACTTCCTCCCCCTGCTGCCCAGCCCTCCTCGCAGGCAGAACAGCGAGCAGGAGACGGGCCCAGGAACTCAACTTATTTTTTTAATTGATTTTAGAGCGAGGAAGGGAGAGGAACATCCATGTGAGAAACATGGATCAGACGGGATGGAACCCACAACCTGGGTATGTGCCAGGGTCAGAGGTCTGGTCCGGGTTCCACGGGACAAAGATGATGAGCCTTTACTGGCTGCGTTCCCGCAGTGCTTGCTGCTGGAGGACTGAGGCGCGTGTTCTTGCTGGCACCACTCCGAGGCTGGTCCCAGGTCCCGGAGGTCCCTGCGCTCCTGGCTCCCGCCCGCCTTCTCCATCTTCCCAGCCAGCACAGGCAGGCAGGCAGGTGGGCAGAGCCCGCCGGAAATGACCATTTCCCCCTTCCTGTCCATCGTCCACACTAGGCCCAACGGCTCTTCCATTTCAACACAATTTTAATCACATCTGCAGGTCCCCTTTGCCATGTGATTTACTCAGATTCCAGGGATCGGGACATGGACATCTGTGGCAGGCCACGATTCCACTGGTCACACCATCTTCATTTTAAAATCATAGAAACTGAGCCGGGACCGGTTTGGCTCAGTGGATGGAGCGTCGGCTTGGGGACTGAAGGGACCCGGGTTCGATTCCGGTCAAGGGCATGTACCTTGGTTGCGGGCATATCCCCAGTGGTGGGGGTGCAAGAGGCAGCTGATCGATGACTCTCTCTCATCGATGTTTCTAACTCTATCTCTCTCCCTTCCTCTCTGTACAAAATCAATAAAATATATTTTAAAAAATAATAACAAAAATAAAAATAAAATCATAGAAACTGAGGCTCAGAGAGGCTAAATGACTTGCCTACTGTCATACAGCAAGTGGACACACCAGGCCTCAAGCTGGGCTCTGCCTCCCAGCCCACCGTTCTGAGTTTCAAACCTACTTCTCACTGTCCTGGCAGCACTGGCGGCACCTCCACAGCCCACTGGCTCCCAGGAAAAGGGAGGACTAAGGCCAAGCCTGATTGTGTGGAGGGCTCTGCCCTCCAAGCCGGGACTTGGATGCGGCTCTGCCACGGGTCAGTCCGAGGCTTGACTCTACAGCCGCTCCCTGCAGCCTCCCCTGAGGCAGGGGATGGGGTGACCCTGTTGTTTGGGAGGCGATAGCCCTGAGCTCCCTCCCCCAAGGGAGCTGTTGAGGAACCTGCTGGTGACAGGTGCTGCTCCTCCCTCAGTATCCTGGCCTGGCTTAGGTCTGCCCCTCAGATCCTACTTCCCACTCCCCGGCCTCTCCCACCCTGGGAACGCCACACAGCGTTCCAGGCCCTGCCCTTCAGGCCCCACACAGAGGCCGGCCTGTGCGGAAACAAGCCTGTTAGGAGGCAGGCAACCACCCCCACCAGGGAGGCAGCCAGGCAGAGTGAGTGCCCTGTCACACTATCCAGGCACTGGGCACCACACAAAAGGCCAGGAAAGGCTAGACAAAAGGACAGGGTTCGTCTTGAGCTTCTGTCAACACAAGTCAGGAAACAAGATCCTGCCGAGCCCTCAGCCAACCACATCCTAGAGCCCTTCAGCTTCCCCTGGCAGCGCTGCCCTCCAGCCTGGCAGCAGCTCCCAGGGAAGGAACACGGAACCTGTCTGTTCAGAAGCCACCGGAGCAGGGGGCCAGCACAGGAGAGCTGGAGCTGCCCTCCAGGGTGGGGACAGCAGTCTGGGGGTTCCTTCGAGACACTGGAAGTCAGGATTCCAGCTCAGTGTGGAGAGTTTCCCAGCTTAGGAGCCCCCACCCCCCCAGGTCCCCAGGGATGGAGGAGCAGCAATTCCCCAACCAAGGAGAACGGGCAGGGAGAACAAGAAAGCCAGTCAGTCCATAAGCACTGAGGGGTGTAGTGATAAAGGCAAGA